ACCCTGTACCACAGTGTGGTGAACGGTATAAATATAACCTGGTTGTACTTTCGTAGACTTCTGCAGGCCATATGCTGAGGGAATATACCTGTTGGCAGCACCGACTGACACTTTCTTACTTGTTAAGAATATGTAATTAGAAGGCAAGAGTAGATTTTGTAAGAATATATTTTACAAGGTGAAGGTCAATAGCAACACCTAGAAATTATTACCTCAGACCTCTATGACATATGGTATTGGTTATATTTTCTTGCTATGAAATCCCGATAGAACTTATTGAAAATGGGATACCGGATGGGCAATAATTTGATATTTTGCATTCACATATTTCTACTTTTCCTACAAAAAATTATAAATACTGGTTTATGTTTCCGGGTATACCCCATAGAGCACGTCCCTCATTTGACACTTTGGATTTTGGGTAGAAAATTTCCCAACTAAAAATTATGAATATTAGTCCATATTTCGGAGTAGCCCCCATTAAGCGGGCACGTTTTTAAACCGAATTGATTTATATTTTGGGTTATTCGCACTAGAATATTAATACCGATCCACTTTTTGATATAGTTCTCCTTTTCGGCATTTTGAACCAAATTTTCCCACCAAAGTAGCTGTAGTTTCGAATTAAGGGATTCAAAGAGGTTGACAAATTTATATTCAGAAAAATATGTATTTTTATGTCAAGTTTGGACATAGCCCCCATATAAAGGTACCGCCTTATTTTCACTATATGAAGGTTTAAGCCGCATTCTCATCTTCAAATGACTGGAATTTCGCATTCCGCATTTTTTGTTTGCAGTTTTGGACATAACCCATTATCGGTTTATGTTTTTTACATCGCTCACATTTTCCCAAAGGAACAACTTAATAGCATACATTTCACAATGACGGAGTCGACATATATGACGTTCCCGATCTTGTTATGAAATTGTCAATACACATCACATGGTGGAGGGTATAAAAAGTTCGGCTCGGTCATTCTGAACGACTTTTTTGTATTTGTATTTATTTGATTACAACATGGTTTCATTTTTTATTTTAGGTATGATAATGATGAAATGTAGCATGGTTATGTTCGAGGAACTGCCTATGTTATTTACAGTGGATCGCCCGTTTGTGTACATGCTCAAAAGTCATGATGACATTATTTTATTTAAAGGAAATCAAAAATATTTTTAAGGCATATTAAAATATTAAATTAATTTAATAGCAGATTAGTTCTTGCTATTCCTTTTCAAGTATGGGGTTCAGTAGTTTTGCAGTAGTTCATACAATAGACACAGATATAAAGCAGTATACACACATATATATAAAATAATAAAATTTTCCTCAAATTGACATTTAATAAAATTTCTTTTATTTTTTCAAAATATTTAAGAAACTGAATGTTATGTAAAATGTGTATTTATTTGATATTTTCCAGCTACTTTTATGGTTGGATGTTTTATGCCAATGTTTGAAGAGGAACCCATGTTGTTCGAAGTCAATCGACCATTTTTATATATGCTGAATTGCTGTGATGATTTCACCATATTTAAAGGAATTCAAATAAATTTTTAAAATAATATCCGAAATTTATTATCAATTACTAACGCCACCTGTAAAATTTATATGTCAATAAAATTATAATACGAATAATAACTAAGCTATTAATATTAATTACAATTTGTGTTGCATTTTTTGTATCTAAAATATAAATGTGTTCATCTTATAAATTCATATATGATTTAAAATAAATAAACTTTTATTTAATTTAAATTAATGTACATACGTATATTTTTAATATATTTGGATTATTTACAGCTATGATGATGATGCTTTGCTCCATGCCAATGATGGAAGAAGATCCCATGACCTTCAAAGTCGATCGTCCATTTGTATATATGTTGAAGGGTGATGGTGATTTGATACTGTTTAAGGGAGCTCAAGTCAAGTTTTAAAATTATATAAACTGTATAAAAAATTGAAATAATGAAAATTGAAAAATTGAAGGGCCGCCAGCAAAGCAAATGAAATAACGTGAACATTTGCTTTGCTGGCGGCCCTTCATTGCATGCTTTATATAGCTTTATATCTCGATTATTAGCTATTGGATGTATTTTTTGGGATTACATTTCTCCAGTAAAATTTAATGAGAATTTTTTTCTAGACATTTTCGTTCTTCTAACTCGATTCCTTATCTGTCCTTTATAGAGTTGAGTAGTTCCGGAACGAACTAGTTCGTTGAAACAATTCCGGAAATGGAACAATCGGAAGTAGTTCTAGCTCTTAAATTAATATAGTTCCTTTTGTCTGATCTTGTTACACGCTATTCGGTAGGCCGCACTCTTCATAAATTTAATCTCAATCAGACACCCGTTTGAAATATATATGAAAGCTGTGTCTGCATCTGCACCAATTTCAATAAAACGCAATAACGCCATTCTAAACTCAATTTGATCAGTTGTGCATAATATCGTGGCAATCGAATGATATACAGGGAATTTGGTGCATCATTTACATAAAATCGGACGAAACTATATATCTGAACTGATTTAATTCAGTACACTGTGCCAAATTTCGTGCAAATCGAATGATATATGGGGACTTTGGTGCACTATTTACATTCAATCGGTCGGAAATATATATGGGAGCTATATATAAATCTCCAACCGATTTACACGGATCTTATCACACATTATTCTAGACTTAATTCAGTTCGCCAAATTTCGTGCACTTCGAAAGTTATATAAGGACTTTGGTACACCATTTACATTAAATCGGACGAAAATATATATGTCAGCTATATCTAAATCTGAACCGATTTTCACGATTTTCTAGACGCAATTCAGTACGCTATGTCCAATTTCTTGCAAATTGGAAGATATCTAGGGACTTTTGTACATCATTTACCTTAAATCGGACGAAAATATATGTAGGAGCTATATCTAAATCTGAACGGATTTTATTATTACCACACATCACACTAGACTTAATTCAATACGCTGTCCCAAATTTCGTGCAAATCGGAAGATATATAGAGGCTTGTATGCATCATTTACATTAAATCGAACGAAACCAGTAAGGAAAGTAGTAAAGTCGGACGGGGCCGACTATATAATACCCTTCACCACTTTGAGTATATTCAACAGATGAATCCTAACGGACGTCGCATTTTTAAGGGACCAGTAAAATGAAATTGGAACCATAAACAGGTCATTCTGCAACCGATACTAAATTGTTCATTTGGTCAGATCTTCCGGATTCAGGAAACTTAACACACATCATTCAAGACCTAATTTGTTACGCTGTGCCAAATTTCGTGCTTAAATCGACTCAAAAAGTGATTATATGCATATTCTCAAACGGAACCATGTGTCTGTCTCGTTTCCTTTTGCCTCTTACAAACATATGCACAAAGACATAATACCCTGTACCAGAAAAAAGAATTTGGTTCAAGAACCTCAAAACCTGGGGGCTACCAGAAAAAATTGAACAATATTTATAATTTATAGTGAAGAGATGTACTACCTAATAAGAACTCGACGTACTAAATTACAGTCAATTTGGTCGAAAAATACGATCAGAACCCCCAAAATACCAAAAATTTGGGGGTACCGTTATATGGGAACTACCAGAAAAACTGGACCTATATTTATAATTTTTAGTGGAGTAAGTTGGTACCCAATAAGAACCCAATGTACAACATTTCAAAGAATTCAGTTATAAAACGAGCCCAAGAACCCGAAAATACCGAAAATTGGGGGTACCCTTATATGGGGGCTTTCCGAAAAATTTCAATAGGGTTCGTCCTTGGGCCAATTAAGTGACCTGTGCCAAATTTCATCCAAATCGGATCATAAATGCGACCTGTACTTTGTTAACAAAAATATATGGACAGACGGACGGACGGACAGACGGACGTGCATAAATCGACTCAGAAAGTGATTCTATGCATATTCTCAAAAGGAACCATGGGTCTATCTCGATTATTTTTGCCTGTTACAAACATATGCACAAAGACATAATAACCTGTACCACAGTGTGGTGAAGGGTATAAATATATGAGAGCTATATATAAATCTGAGCCGATTTTTTCAACAATTTCAATAGGGTTCGTCCTTGGGCCAAATAAATGAGCTGTGCCAAATTTCATACAATTAGGATCATAAATGTAAACTGTACTTTGTTTACAATTTAACATGGAGAGACGGACGGACATGCGTAAATCGACTCAGAAAGTGATTCTATGCATATTCTCAAAAGGAACCACATGTGTATCTCGTTTTCTTTTGCCTGTTACATATGCACAAAGACATAATACCCTGTACCACAGTGTGGTGAAGGGTATAGCAATGAACTTGAAAGGTCGATCCGCTACGTGAACTAGATTGCCCAACTCTAGTTCTATTCATGCTTAATTTATTGAACCGGATTCGTCCGATTTATTTACTAAAAAAAATATCAGAGGTATAAGCATATAGAGATTGGGATTTTTGTAAGAAATTTCCAAAGCGGTCTTCAATCAAATTATTGGTTTTTGTGGCAACCCACTTTCGACGAAAATATTCTTCAGCAACTATTTGAGTTGATCCTGGATTTTTAACTTTTCTCTTATACATATTTTATTGACCGATTGGTCCCTAACTATAATTATAATGGACAGACGTGTGGATGGACGGGCACTCAACTAGTCGAGAATTGATGGGTACACTAAATTTTGCGTTTAAGACCTGTATTTCGAGTTTGACCAAACTCTATTGACATATAATACTCTCACAAAATGGTTGTGTAGGTCCTTAAAAGTAATGTTAAGACTTTTTGTTTTTTTTTTTTTTTCAAAATGTACTTTTGATTTATTATTCTTCAAGATCTTAAAATTTTATTTTTGATTGTTTCTTTTTTATGGAAATTAATAATTTTAATTTTCTTTTCTGTATTCATATTGAAGTATGGAAGCAAGTGAACACCGCACCTTTCCCAACGAATGTATGCCAACACAACTGTTTGTTAGGGTTTTTTTAAAAATCACTTTGCGATCCTTCAAAGAATTCAATGCCATCACTATTCACTATCTTATAGAAGAAGCCATGATCAACCACAAATTTGGTCTCAATTTCAGGCACAATTACAGCAGATGTAGCAGATGCGCCAATACCTAAAAAATTATTTTTTTTATTGTTATTGAGGCAAATAAGATTACAAAATATATAGTGCTATGTCTCTGATCTCCAAAAGTTAATTTAGATGAAACGCATCTTATGAATATAATCACGTTAATTTCAAAGATATTATGTGGTAGTAAATATCGACGCCTCCGAACCATAGTATGCTAAGTCGACTTAGCATGTTTTAAAGTTCTTTACGTTTTTAGATACTACGGTCCTTAAATTAATTTCACTGAAATTTTGGTAATCATCGGCCAATTCAAACCAATGTTATAAGCAAACATGTGCTTAGCATGGCATTAAAGAAACTTCCATACTTTGAAAGCTTCTACTGAAAAACTCACTTTTCAGACTTAGCATACTATGGTTCTGAGGCGTCGATATATTTAATTGAACAACACTATATATAGTGGCGTTTTAACAAATACTTTTATAAGAACCATCCCATGCATTTTCTGAGACACAAACAAGCATGACCTTTAATACATACCTGTTGCAGCAGAAGCTTCTGTGCCGAATTCGTTGACATGAATAATTGCCTTATGCAAAAATTTCGTTACTTGCAATACTTCTTTTGAATTTATCATTTTTTCCAAGTCAGCATGAGAGAACATGCGTTCCACACCCAACTAAACAAAAATTTTACATCATTAAAAATTAATAGAATTTTTGATTTGAAATAGTTCCTTATAGTTACCCCCTTTAAGATCTCATTCAATTCGATTTTGTATTCAGTTTTAAATCTGGGCATTTCCACTAGAACCTTTGTCTCAACCATATTCTCTCTTATTTCACGCAGAGAATATGACTGCAATTTAATCCTTAGATCATCCAAGCCATCACGAGAGTTTGGCAAAATTACAAGCATGTAAAGATCGGAATTTTTGTAAGGCATTTCCAAAGCGGTAGCATCTAAATAGTCTATTTTGCCATAAAGGAAGTCTCCAAACGTTACCATCAAGTTCACATTAACATAATTTGTTGCATCCACATAGAATTTTTTGGGTTGTGTACGAGGTCCTATGAATGGTCGGGCCCATTCATCTTTGAAATAAATTGCATTGAGCAGTAACAAACGTGTGTTTTCATCCAAATCCTCGGCACTGACCAGATCGTTAATCAATTGACTGGTTTTTGCGGCAACCCAAGAATTGATTTTCTCAGCTGCTTTAATATTTTGTGTAAAATTGACATTTTCCCCTGATGCGAAGAAATGTTTGGCAAGCAACACATTAAATTGATCGCGTAGTTCTAACTTTTCCTCTGCATATATGTTATTGGCCAATTGTAAAAGATCACCATTCAGATATGTTGAAAGAATTTGTTCGAAATAGTTGGCCAATCTTTCGCCATTGCTAAATTTTAAATTTAGAGCATTGTCAATTTCATCCGCTGTCTGTCCGGTGGCACCTAAACGAATCATGGCCAGGCTGGTCTCAATTGAGAATGGTGAAAATATAATGTTTTTCTGGGCACTACGTTTAGCTATGTTCGAGTAGAGTTTCGTTCCAAAGTCTTCCAAACTCTTGGGTAAGTCCCTTAATAGCGAGTCATCATTGGAGATTGTAGCTGGTGTGGCAGCTATCACCGTTAATATCATAACACAAATTGTGGCTATGGAATGAGTATTAGCTGAAATAAGAAAATTATACTTAGTATTGAATTTTTTCAATGATTAGTGAAAAGTGTACATATTTTCAACATCTCAATGTTCTTTATAAATATTTTACACTTACCACCCATTTTTATCCGCTGCGAATTAAATTTAACCGAGAAGAAGTACAATCTTATCCGTGGCCGGACAGTGAATGTGATGAGACTAGAACAGCACTTATATACACACAAATCAGACTGAAGCAGACAATGTGGTATCAATATGTTTGTCAGTTGGCTATTCATTGCAGCAAACAGAACAAAGGAAGAAAGAGGACGACAACGGATGAAATAGAACCTTGCCACTATAATAGTAGCAAAATAAGATTTTCCTTCTTGAATGGTGTAAAAATAAATAAATAATATGGCAATAAACACACACACAGGGCAGAGTCGACAATCAAGGGGCATCACAATTCTTAAACTTTTTTTAGTTTTTGTCGTGCTGATCAAAACAGGATCCTTGCAGTTTGACCGGCCGACAGCATTCGTTTTTATTTTCGACAAACATTCTGCCTGATCAACAACGTAATAAAAGGGGAACCGTTTATCATACCCCACCCCCACAATTCATTCTATCACCATAAATTTATGGTTTAAAACGAAAACAAAATTCTTGCAACGAAATGAAAACTAGTATACTAAAATAAACAGTATGGTGCAATAACACAGTGTTGTATACCATTTCAAGAATGGATAGACTTTTTAATACCCTTCTCATTCGGCAATCTATGCAAAATGTCATTGCAATCGGGTATGAGAAATGTGACTAAATATTCTAATATATCTCGCGGAATTTTCCACTGACATGGGAAATAGTTTCGCAAAAAAAAAAAAAAAAAAATAAGTCCACTGGTAGTGGTGTAGGGAAGATATATATGGGATATATAACTAAATATGAAGCGATTTCTATAAAACTTAAAATACATTATTCTAAATTCAATTCAATACGTTAAGCAAAACATATATATAAGAGCTATATAAAAATCTGAACCGATTTCAACAAAACTTCGTATACATCCATTTGTACCTAATTCAGTTCGCTGAGCAGGATTTTGTCTGTCAATCGGGCAAACATTGGGTGCACCATTTATATAAAATGGGCCAAACTATAAATCGTTGCCATATCTTAATCTAAAGCGATTTCAACAAAACTTGCATACATCAATCTTTTTGATTTTGTCTGAATCGGACAAACATTGGGTGTCTGGTGCACCTTTTACATAAAATCGGACTAAACTATATATGTGAGCTATATATAAATCTGAACCGATTTCAACAAAACTTCGCATACAAAAAACTCTACCTAATTCAGTACGTAAAATTTGAACATAATCGGAAAAACATTGGTTGTGTGATGCACCATTTAGATAAAATCGGACGAAAATATATATGGGAGCTATATTTAAAACTGAAGCCATTTTCTCCAATTTCAATAGGGTTCGTCCTTGGGCCAAAAAAGTGACTCACGCCAAATTTCATTCAATTTATTTTTTAGATAAAGATCCCATATATTTTCGGCAGATTTTATAGTTTGGACGATTAGGAAGAAATTTGGAATAGCGTATCGTATTAAGTCTAGAAGGGCATATGTTAAGTTGCGGTAAAATCGGTTCAGATTTAGATATAACACTCATAGTTATATTCTTCTGATTGTATGTAAGTGATACCCCAAAGGCCTATATATTTTAAGATTAACACAAAGTGGATAGCGTATAAAAATGACGTATTTTAAGATTTGTTGAAATCGCTACAGGTTTGCCCAAAATTTTGCGCAGGTTGGCCTAGTGATCCATTGCATCTATAGATATATCGCTACTATATATATTTTCGTTTAATTTTTTCCGTACTTTGGGTTCTAATTGGGTAGAAAGTTATTCTGCTAAAAATTATCAATTTTGGTCCAATTTTTGAGTGCTCCCATGTTACGATATTTTCAGAATTTTTGTCAAGTTTCATAATGGCATTTGAATATAGTTTGGGTTTTTGGATGTCTGTTGAAATAACGATATAGATCGCAATATTTAAGATAGAGCTCTGAAATTTTTCACAGACATATCTAGTACTCCCGATATATCCGGTCTACGTTTTAGTGTAGCTCCCATATAACCGTACCCCCATTATTCGGCATTTTTGACAGGTTGTTTTCTTAACCGAATTGGCTATAATTGAGTATTTTGTGTTCTTATTGTGTAGCATATGTCCATAACAAAAACCAGTAAGGAAAGTAGTAAAGTCGGACTGGGCCGACTATATGATACACTTCGCCACTTTGCGTATATTGTAAATATGTATCCTAACAATTGCATGTCTATGTTCCCTCTTTCCCCAACCTATCCTAATTTCATTCGAGCAGATTTAGAGCCGTCTGTGTAACATGGGCAAAATTTATAGAAAACGAATTATAGCAAAATTGATACACGTTATTCGGTACGCCGCGTAGTTAAAAATATAATCTATATGTGGGAGCTATATCTGAATCTGAACCGATTTTCACGAAAATGAACACACATCTTTCTAGACTTAATTCAGTACACTATGCCAAATTTCGCGCAAATCGAGGGATATATAGGGTCCTTGGCGCACCATATACATAAAATCGGACGAAAATATATGGGAGATATATCGAAATCTAAATCGATTTTCCCGAAACTCACCACTCTCAATTCAGTACGCTATGCGAAATTTCGTGCAAATCGAAGGATACAAAGGGATTTTGGTGCACTATTTACCAAAAATCGGACGAAAATATATATGGGAGCTATATCTAAATCTGAACCGATTTCCACGAAACTTAACACACATCGTTCTAGACTTAATTCAGTACGCTGTGCCAAATTTCGTGCAAATCGAAGTATATATAGGGACGTTGGTGCACCATTTACATAAAATCGCACGAACATATATATGGGAGCTATATCAAAATATGAACCGATTTTCCCGAAACTCACCACTCATCACTCTAGACTCAATTTAGTACGCAATGCCAAATTTGGTGCAAATCGAAGGACATATAGGGACGTTTGTGCACTATTTACCTAAAATCGGACGAAAATATATATGGGAGCTATATCTAAATTTGAAACGATTTTCACAAAATTTAAAATACACCGTTCTAGACATACTGAATTAAGTCTAGAACGGTGTGTGTTTCGTGCAAATCGAAGGATATATAGAGACTATGGTGCATTATTTACCTAAAATCGGACAAAAATATATATGGGAGCTATATCCAAATCTGAACCGATTTTCAGAAAACTTGACACACATCATTCTAGACCTAATTCATTACGCTGTGCTAAATTTCGTGCAAATCGAAAGATATATAGGGACTTTGGTACTCCATATACCATAAATCGGACGAAAATATATATGGGAGCTATATCTAAATCTGAACCGATTTTTACGAAACTAAGCACACGTTATCCTAGACTTAATTCAGTACACTATACCAAATTTTGTGCAAATCGAATGATATATAGGGACTTTGGTAAACCATTTATCTTAATTCGGACGAAAATATATATGGGAGCTATATCCAAATCTGAATCGATTTTCAGGAAACTTGACACACATCATCCTTGACCTAGACTAGGGACTTTGGGGCCTATATATCTTTCAATTTGCACGAATTTTTGTATAGGGTACTGAATTAAGTCTATAGACGTTCTACATATGTAGAATATACCCAAAGTTGTGAAGGGTATCATATCGTCGGCCCAGTCCGACTTTACTACTTTCCTTACTGGTTTTTATATGTGCCAGTTTTTGGATGAATTTCACCTTAAATATATTTTATAACATAAAAGTATGTGTCTTCAGTTTTTTTGTTTTTTGTAATAAATATGAAGATTCTGTGGTATGTTTCAAAACCCGCCTATCCCAATAAAAACAAAGTTCGAGTGTATTTCAGAATACAAACATTACTGTTTATTAGAGTTTTTCTTTTGTTTGTTTTTGTATTTTTGTGTGTTTAAAATTCACGTACCGATCCTTCAAAGAATTCAATGCCATTACTATTCACAATTTTATAGAAGAATCCGTGATCAGCCACAAATGTGATTTCAGTTGGAGGCAGGATAGGAGCAGATAACAGAGACACATTAACATCTAAAAATTTATACATTATTATGTATATTATAAATTATTTATTAATTTTAAAGACGCGAAGGATACAAAATATTTATACTGTGTTATATATTTAGCTGATATCCAAAACGTTAATTTATATATATATATATATATATATAAATTGTTTTAAGGACAGACCTGCCTTGTGTTTAATACATACCTGTTGCAGCAGCAGCTTCAGTACCCTTTTCGTTGACTTCAATAATTGCCTTATGCAAAACCTTCGACACTTGCAATCCTTCCTTTGATTTGATCATTTTATCCAATTCCGCATCAGTAAACAAACGTTCTATACCCAACTAAAGAAAAATTTATACATCATCATTGAAATCAGGTACATTAATTAATTAAAATAGTTCATCATAGTTACCCTCTCTAAAATCTCACTCAATTCGATTTTGTATTCAGTTTTAAATTTAGGCATTTCCACTTGAATCATTGTCTCAGCCATATTATCCCTCAATTCTTGTAGAGAATATGATTGCAATTTAATCCTTAGATCATCCAAGCCATCACGAGAATTCGGCAAAATTACAATCATATAAAGATCGGTATTTTTGTAAGGCATTGCCACAGCAGTAGCATCTAATTGGTCTATTTTGCCATAACGGAATTGTCCAAACGTGAGCATCATTTCCACGCTAACGTAATTTGTTGCATCCACATAGAAGTTTTTTTGACGTGTGACAGGTACAAAGAATGGTTGTAACCATTCGCCTTTAAAGTAAATTGCATTGAGCAGTACAACACGTGTGTTCTCATCCAAATCGTCGGCACTAATTAGATCTGTAATTAAGTGATTGGTTTTTGCGGCAACCCAAGAGTTGATTTTTTCGGCTGCTTTAATATTTTGTGTAAAATTCACATTTTCTGCTGATGCGAAGAAATTTTTCTCAAGCAACTCATTGAATTGATCGCGAAGTTCTAGTTGGTCCTTAATATATATTTTATTGGCCATTTGAAGAAAATTAGCATTCGGATAGGATAAAAGGAACTTTTCGAAATAGTTGGCCAACTGTTCTCCGTTATTAAATTTTAAATTTAGAACATTGTCAATTTCCTGTGCTGTTTGCCCGGTAGCACCTAAACGCATCATTGCCAGGCTTGTCTCAATTGAGAATGGTGAAAATAGTATGTTTTTCTGTCCACTATTTTTTGCTATGCTCGAGTAGAGTTTCGTTCCAAAGTCTTGCAAACTCTTCGATAGATCCCTTAATTGCGTGTCCTCATTGGAGGTGGTAGTTGGTGTGGCAACTATCACCGTTACGATCATAACACTTATTATGGCTATGAAATGAGTATTAACTGAAATTAGAGTATTATAAAAAATAGTTTTTTTTTTATTGATTTTTTTATTAATTAAAATATTATGGTTTATAAATAATTTACTGTACATACCACCCATGGTAATTGTTTATGAATTTTATTTAAACCCAGAAAAAATACTATTACTGAAAATACTATTACTTATCCGTGACCAAACTCTGAATGTGAGGATGGAAGAATAAGGCTTTTTTATATACACACGTATCAGACACAGCCACAGACTATGACATCGAAATGTTTGTCTCTAGCATTGGTTTGCACCAAAGGAAACCAAAGGAATAAAAAAAAGAACGACAAAGGATGATAGATAAAAGTTTGTGGTACATAAAATTAATGGAAATTCTATGCCAGTTTACTAGTTGCCAGACGGGATTTTCGTTACTTAAAAAAACTCACAAATGTCCATAGGGGCAGAGTCAGCCATCAAGGGGAATCACAATTGTTAAACTTGTTTTAGTTTTTGTCGTGATGACCAAAACAGGATCATGTAAACATTGCAGATTGGCCGGCCGGTAGCATTCGTTTGTATTTTTATTCGGGTTCTAGGGCAATACACAAATTTATGAAAACCTGTATATGCGCTTGTTACGTAGTGAGCATACTTATGTGATGCTAGTTGAGGAAATAGTCACTGGTAGTCAGTGTTCGAAAATAAACTGTATGGTACAGTATGGTAAGACCTGGTAAGACCTGCGATGGATCATACTGATGAAATTGCGCCACTCAACACAGTTAAATAAATTTGCAATAAATTCGATAAAAATGTACTTTCCTATACGAGGATCGAAACCGATCAAAAATCTGTATAACCTGTAATGAACACGGTTAGAATTTTGATCGAATGCCTCAATAACTTGAAGCATTTCAGCCCTTGGTTATGTGCAGGACTACGGCAGCCATTGAAGAGGTAGCTGCAGTCGCAATGGGGGTGGGGGGGTCTTGTCCTTCTACAACCAAGATCATGTCTAGTTACAGGTATTAGTATAGACTCCCTAAAAAACAACAACATATATATATATATATATATATATGCAAAACTGTAAGTGGACCAGTAAAAGGAAATCTAGACAAAATTACCTTTAAACCCCATAATACAAAACTAACAAAAAATGAAATAATTAAAAACTAGTAAGATGTTTGTCTAATCGATCGCTGTATTCATATTTTGACTTCTCAGATGTTGCGAGAAGCAGTCTCTACACCCTCACCAACCTATGTCCATGATGGCTTATTTTTCTATGGACCCCAAATTTAGTTCACATCCAATCTATATAGACATCCCTAATAAGATAACGTCAGCCTGATAACTCACAAATTAATTTTGAATTCAAAAATTATATTTATTCACATTATAAATAAATTTACCACTAATTATAAACCTCCACCAAAAGGTGAAGTGTATATTAAACTTGTCATTCCATTTCCAACACCTCGAAATATTAACCGGAGCTTTATAATGTATATATATTCTTGATCAGAATTCTACGTCGATTTAGCCATGTCCGTCTGTTTGTCTGTCCGTCCGTCAATATGGACGATAGAGCTTCGATATGTTCCGCATATTTTGCTATTACTCCTTGTCCAGATATAATAATTTGGTATTTTTGGGAGCCACATTTTGGCCACATTTTCTATGCGAATCTGATCCAATCTGATATTTTGGATTATTGTTTGGCAGTAAATCTCCCTACCAAAACATATCAATATTAATTCATATTTCAGAGTAGCACTCTCCTATAATTCAATATTTTGTGGATAATTGTCTGAAATTTGGTACTTTGAGTGCACATTCGTTATTTTGATGAATTTGGACAAGTTTTCCAAGCGAATTAGCTCCAATCTGATATTTGGATCCTCGTTGGGCAAAAAATCTCCCCATGCGAAATTTGAACAAACAGGTGAAGATTAATTTTACTTTCACATTTTTTTGAAAAGTACTAGGAAATATCTATGTAAAATTGATAATATTTGTCGTACTGGGTATTATGTCTTTGTGCATATGTTTGTAACAGTCAAAAGGAAACGAGATAGACCCATTGTTCCTTTTGAGAATATGCATAGAATCACTTTCTGAGTCGATTTATACATGTCCGTCTGTCCATGTTAAATTGTAAACAAAATCCAAGTCGCTTTTATTATCCGAATGAGATGAAATTTGGCATACATCATAGATTTGGCCCAAGGAAATTGAGAAAAATCGGTTCGGTCCCATACATAATTTCGTCCGATTTTAAGTAAATGGTGCACAAAAGAGTCAAATTATGTGCCAAGTTTTATTGAAATCGGTTCAGATTTAGATATAAGTCTCAGATATATCGAAAACTGGGGGCCATGAACCGATATAGCCCATCATCGAACTTGACCTGCAGACAAAGGCGACTCTACGTAAAATGTTGGCGATATATCTCAATTCGTTTAGACGCTAGAGTGAGTCATAGAATTTTACGCTGATCAAGAATATATATACTTTATAGGGTCGATGATTATTTCGATGCGTTACAAACGAAAAAACAAAACTAATATACCCTCCATACTATGCTGGAGGGTATAAAAACTAATAAATAATTAAATAATAATAAGTTTGGGCACGCACATATTCTCACCAAACAAGATACATTTTTGTTCACAATTTAGGGTAACACCCATATAAGGTTGACCCCCAATTTTGTTTTTTGTTTTTTTTTTTTTTTTGTGATTTTTGGGCATTATCCTGTCTGAACATATGAGAATTTAGTATTAGTACTAATAGTATAAAGATTCTGCAATAACGTTCGAAATTATAATTTTTCACCCATTTCAAAAAACAAAAAATGATTTTCAGAATGCAAACGCCACTATTTTTTAGAGCATTTTGTTTTTTTATTTTCTTTTTTAATTTTTGCTTTTTTAAAATTCCTTTTGCGATCCTTCAAAGTAAACAGTACCATAAGTATCGATTATCTTATAGAAGAAGCCATGATCCACCACAAATTCGATTACAGAAGAAAGGGCAACTCCAATAGAACCTAAAGATAAGAAAGAATAAAATAATATTGGAATATTATATTAAAAAAAACAATAATGTCATATATGTATGTTCGAGAAAAATAAGGACACAACATAATAAAAATATAAATAGTTTTTTTTCAAGGGTCATCATGCGCGTGCAGCTTGTTTAATGCGTGTCTTATTAAGAACATTTTTCCAGGGCTTGGAGAACGATATTTTTAATATATATATATATATATATACATATTTTTTTTTCAAGAACTCCGAAGAAAACTCAGACATGGATGGATTTATTAAAAGACATGTGCGAAATTTTTAAAGAATACTTTTTTTCGGGCCATCACACGTATGGATTTATTAAAGATTATTTTTGTATGTACTCAAGTTGATTATTAATACATACCTGTAGATGCAGCAGCCTCAGTACCCTTTTCGCTCACTTAAATGAAAGCCTTATGCAGTACTTTCGACACTCCAATTGGTTCAGGGGTATTTAACATATTTATCAATTCTGCATCAGGGGAGAACAAACGTTCTATACCGAACTGCAGGAAAAAATACACATCATTTGTCATTTATTAAATTATTCAATTAATCATAGTTACCTGTTGTAAAATCTCTTTCAATTCAATTGTGTATTCAGCTTTAAATTTGGGCATAGCGACATCAACCAATACCGGAAACATGCTACCTCTTAATTCCTCCAATGAATATGAATTCAATTTATTCCTTAGATCTTCTAAACCATAACGAGAATTCGGCAAAATTATAAGCATACGCAGATCGGAATTTTTGTAAGGCAATTCCAAAGCGGCAGCATCTAATTGCTCACTTCTGCCATAGCGGAAGAGGCCTCTCATATGCATCATGTCCACATTAACAATATCTGTTTCATCCACATAGAATTTTTGTTGGCGTGTGGCATTTTCTGGGAATCCCTGTGCCCATTCATCTTTGAAATAAATTGCATTGAGCAATACCAATCGTGTGTATTTATCCAAATCGTCGGCACCGATAAGATCTGTTATCAAGTTATTGGTTTTTGCCGCAACCCAAGAGTTGATTGCTTCGGCTGCTTTAATATTTTGTGTAAAATTCACATTTTCTGCTGATGCGTAGTAAAAGTTCGTAAGTATGTCACTGAATTGATTGCGGAGTTCAACATTTTCCGCTACATAGATTTTATTGGCCATTTTCAGATAATTACTCTCCTCAAAGACTGAAAGGATTGAAATTTGTTTCCAACTTTTCGTTATTGTTGAAATTAAAACGTACAGCATTGTCAATTTCTTCTGCTGTCTGTCCGCTGGCACCCATACGAATCATGGCCAGGATGGTCTCAATTGAGAATGGTGAAAATATAATGTTTTTCTGATCATCACCTTTTGCTAATTTCGAGTAGAGTTTCGTTGCAAAGTCCTGCAAACCCTTGCCAGTGGAGTCGGTGGTAGAAGTTGGTGTGGCAACTATCACCGTTAATATCATAAAACAAATTGTGGCTATGAAATGAGTATTAGCTGGAATAAGAGCGTAATAAAAGGATAGAGTGTTTTTTTAATTTCAAAAATATTTTTTGTATACTTATCAATATTGTATATTAAACTATATTTTCAATAAAAAAATTGCCCAACGATCCATATATTTTACCACCAATAACAATATTGCTTATAAATATTTTACTATACTCACCACCCATTATAATTGCTTATGATTTTTATTTAAACCAAGAAGAAATATAAATACTGAAACCTCCGTCTTATATGTCACCGAACTGCGTATGTGATGAGGCAAGAACAGCACTTCCTTATATACTCACAGATCAGACAAAGCCACAAACTAAGGTATCGAAATATTTGCCAGTTGCCTATTCCATCAACATTTGTTTGCAGCAAACAAACCTAAGGAAGAAAGAGGACGACAACGGATGGAATAGAACATTGCTACTTTACTAGTTGCAGAACAAGATTTTCCATCTTGCATGGTATAAAAATAAACATATTATATGGCAATAAACACTTACAGATATCTGCAGGACCGGGTCAGCAAACAAGGGCTATCACAATTTCTATACCCTTCACCACACTGTGGTACAGGGTATTATGTCTTATGTGCATATGTTTGTAACAGGCAAAAGGAAACGAGATAGACACATGGTTCCATCACAGAATCACTTTCTGAGTCGATTTACGCATGTCCGTCTGTCTGTCCGTCCATGTATTTTTGTGAATAAAGTACAGGTCGCATTTATGATCCGATTTGGATGAAATTTGGCGTAGGTCACTTATTTGGCCCAAGGACGAACTCTATTGAAAATGGGAAAAATCGGTTCAGATTTAGATATAGCTCCCATATATATTTTCGTCCGATTTAATGTAAATGGTGCACCAAAGTCCCTATACATCTTTCGATTTGCACGCAATTTGGCAAATCGGTTGAGTTTCATGTAAATCGGTTCAGATTTAGATATAGCTCACATATATGGTTTCGTCTGACTTTAGGTAAATGGTGCACCAAAGTCCCTATACATCTTTCGATTTGCACGAAATTTGGCAGAGCGTAATGCATAATGTCTATAATGATGTGTGTTAAGTTTCCTGAAATCGGTTCAGATTTAGATATAGCTCCCATATATATTTACGTCCGATTTAATGTAAATGGTCCACAAAAGTCCATATATATCTTTCGATTTGCACGAAATTCAATTAAGCCTAGAATGATGTGTGCTAAGTTTCGTGAAAATCGGTTCAGATTTAGATATAGCTCACATATATAGTTTCGTCTGACTTTAGGTAAATGGTGCACCAAAGTCCCTATATATCTTTCGATTTGCACGAAATTTGGCAGAGCGTAATGCATAATGTCTATAATGATGTGTGTTAAGTTTCCTGAAATCGGTTCAGATTTAGATATAGCTCCCATATATATTTACGTCCGATTTAATGTAAATGGTCCACAAAAGTCCATATATATCTTTCGATTTGCACGAAATTCAATTAAGCCTAGAATGATGTGTGCTAAGTTTCGTGAAAATCGGTTCAGATTTAGATATAGCTCACATATATAGTTTCGTCCGATTTTACGTAAATGGTGCACCAAAGTCCCTATATATCATTCGATTTGCACGAAATTTGGCAGTGCGTTCTGTATTAAGTGCAGAATGATGTGTGCTGAGTTTGGTGAAAATCGGTTCAGATTTTGATATAGCTCCCATATATAGTGTCGTCCGATTTTATATAAATGTCCCTATATGTCATTAGGTCTAGAATAATGTGTGTTAAGTTTCCTAAAAATCGGTTCAGATTTAGATATAGCTCCCATATATATTTTCGTCTGATTTAATGTAAATGGTGCACCAAAGTCCCTATATATCTTTCTATTTGCACGAAATTTGGCACAGCGTAATGAATTAGGTCTAGAATGATGTGTGTTAAGTTTCGTCAAAAATCGGTTCAGATTTAGATATAGATATTAGTCCCTTAATATCTTTCGGTTTGCACAAAATTTGGCGCAGTGTAATGAATTAGGTCTAGAATGATGTGTTTTAAGTTTCCTGAAATCCTTGAAATCAGTTCAGATTTACATATAGCTTCTATATCTGACCAAATGAAAAATTTAGTATAGGTTGCAGGATGACGTGTTTATGAATCCACTTTCATTTTACTGGTGCGACGTCTGTTAGGATTCATCTGTCGAATATACCCAAAGTGGTGAAGGGTATCATATAGTCGGCCCCGTCTGACTTTACTACTTTCCTCCTTTTTTTTTTGTTTTTATTTGTCTTGCTGACCAAAACAGAATTGGCCGGCCGGCAGCATTCGTTTTTATTTTTATTCGAGTTCAAGGGCAATGTGCAGATTCATTCCCTCGACAAACAATTCTAGTCAGAAACGACGTAGACTCCAAATAATTTTTTTCACGATTTTTTTGTCACCACCACCCTCCCTGAAATGAAAATCTGTATACACACTTGATATTTAGTGAGCGTTGATATGAGATCTTAGTTTAGGAAATAGTCACTGGTAGTCAGTGTTCGAAAACAAACAATATGGTACAATAACATAAAAAACATTATTTTATTTTTATTATTTCCAGCATTTTTCCGAAACATGTGGGAAACAAGCTTCTTGGTATAGTTAACAACTCCTGCTTGGATTTTAATTCCTTTCAATTTAATCCTTAGATCTTCTATACCAACGACTTTGGCAAAATTACAATCATATAAAGATCGGATATTTTATAAGGCATTTCCAAATCGGTGGCATCTAATTGATCTATTTTGCAATAAGGGAATTCTCCGATTTGTAATTTGCCTCAATAAATTCAATGTTGCAGCATGTTTGAATTGACATGAAATCGGACGAAATTATATATATATATAATCTGTATCTGAAGGTGAACCGATTTCAACCCATAAAACAATGTACGTGTAGACTTATAGTTTTGGATGTTGATATGAACGGATTTAAGTGGACACTGAACTGATATCAACAAAACTATATATATATCATTCTAAGCCCATTTTGAAACACGGTGCACAATTGTATCACAATCGGAGATTTGCATGAATTCACACAATTCGTACTGCTCAATGCAATTTATTTCAAAGGTGAATGGGTAAGACAGTTCATAGGACATCTCACATGGCCCTATGGACCTAACTATGATGTCTTTTGCATCATACACAAACATATGCACAACGGCATAATACTTTGTACCAAAGTGTGGTGCAGGGTATCAAATCTTTTCCCTCTTTCCAAATAAAACAATGTAGAATTTTAGAAACCAAACGCTACTATATATTAAGATTTTTTTTTTGGTTTTTATTTTTGTTTTTTAAAATTCATTTTGTGATCCTTCAAAGAATACAATACCATCAGTATTCAAAATTTTATAGAAGAAGCCGTGATCAACCACAAACTCGTTTACAATTTCAGGTAGACCCGGTCGAGGCAGGCCAATACCAATAGTACCTAAAAAAGATAACATAAAATAATTTTAGAATTAAAAAAATTAATAAACAATAGATAAATAAAAGACCAGTAAGCGGAGCAGTTAGTAGGAGAGGTCGACCATATGATACCCTACACTACAACTTTTTTCGGATATGTATTCCGTGCCTGGGCAATATTTCGCGATATTTGCGCCCTCTTGGTCGATTAGAGATCAACGGCTACAATTGTTCACCCTGATTAACGGATCATTACCGAAAACAATAGGGGTCTTCTTAGGCCAGAACCCTTCTTATATGCATAACAATGACCCGTGTCGTGTTTGCAAATTATAATGGACAGACGGACGAAAGGGGAACAAATGGCTAGATTGACTCAGCTAGCCCAGATATGACGATCGGTATAATTAAAGGTGGATCTATGACCAATATTTCACCTCATTACAAACTCTCTGCGCAAAACTATAATATCCGTACAACATAGTTGTGTAGGGTATAGTTACAAAAAATATAAATGAGAACACGAAGTGAAGTTTATATAGAATATTTGTTCAATATATATATATATATATATAACACTATATTGCCGAAGGCGGTCATTTTGACCGCTTTTCAATTTCAAGTACAATAACAACTGTGCATATAATGACACTTTTATTTAAAATTTGGTGACTTTTTATACCACATAGAATTACGTTCATTATAAAAAAGTCACCAAATTTCAAAAAAGTGTCATTATATGCACTTCAAATTGAAAAGCGGACAAAATGACCGCCTTCGGCAATCTAGTGTTAAATGTATATATATATATATATTTCAAGAATATTTTTTAAGGATTCTGACATGCGTTTATTTTTAAAGAGCATTTCAAGGCCCGTCAGAAGTGTAGATTTTTGATACATACCTGTTGATGCAGCAGCCTCAGTACCCTTTTCGTTGACTTCAATAAATGCCTTATGCAGAACTTTCGATACTTCAATTGTTTCAGATGTATTTATCAACTCTCCAAATTCCGCCTCTTTAGAGAACATGCGTTCCATAACCAACTGTAGTAAGAAAAAAACATACAACATCAAAAATTTATTTAACTATACAATTTATCATATTTACCCTTTGTAAAACATCTTTCAATTAAATTGTGAATTCAGCTTTAAATTTGGGCATGTCCACTTGAACAGTTGTCTCAAACATATTATCTCTTAATTCTTGTAGAGATAATGATTTCAATTTAATCCTCAAATTTTCTAAACCATCACGAGAATTCGCAAAATTACCAACATATAAAGATCGGAATTTTTGTAAGGCATTTCCAAAGCGGTGGCATCTAATTGGTCTATTTCGCCATAGCGGAATTTTCCCTTCATATGCATCATGTCCACATTAACACTGTTTGTTGCATCTATATAGAATTTTTGTTGGCGTGTGGCATGCTCGGGAAATCCCTGTGCCCATTCACCTTTGAAATAAATTGCATTCAGCAGCACCATTCGTGTTGTTCGATCCAAATCATCGGCAGTGATTAGATTCTTAATCAATTGATTGGTTTTTGCTGCAACCCAAGAGTTCATGGTCTCAGCTGCTTTAATATTTTGTGTAAAATTCACATTTTCCGCTGACGTGAAGAAATTGTTCGTAAGCAACTCATTGTATTGATCCTGGAGTTTAAAAGTTTTCATAATATATATTTTATTGGCCATTTGTAGGAAATCACTATTTTGATATGTTGAAAGGATTTTTCGGAAATAGTTGGCCAACTTTTCGGCATTGTTAAATTTTAAATTTAGACTATTGTCAATTTCTTCTGCTGTCGGACCGGTAGCACCCAAACGCACCATCGCCAAACCGGTCTCAATCGAGAATGGTGAAAATATAATGTTTTTCTCAGCACTTCGTTTGGCTATTTTCGAGTAGAGTTTCGTTCCAAAGTTATCCAAACTCTTGGACAAATCCCTTAATTGTGAGTCATCATTGGAAATGGTTGTTGGTGTGGCAACCACCACCGTCAATATCATAAAACAAAGTGTGGCTATGAAATGAGTAACAACTGCAAAAATAAATAAATAAATAAATAAATAAAATAAAAATATTTTTTAACTTTAAATACTATTATCTATATTATTTAAAATTTTATTCTACATCCAATACTTGCGTGAATTTGATTATTTCAGTTGTTACTTTTGATTCTGTTACAGAATACTTACCACCCATTGTAATTGCTTACGAATTAAATGTAACTAAGAAAAAACACAATTATTAAAATCTCAGCCGGACAGCGAATGTGATGCGAAGCAAGAACATTATATTTATGCGCCCTGATCAGACTGAGCCACAGACTGAGATATCGAAATTTTTGTTAGCTATCAGTTGGCTATTTTCAAACCAAACCACGAGAGAGAGAAAAAACACACAGCAGCAGATGATACAGAACTGTGTCTGTGGTACTTCACATCGATGGGAATTCATTATCACCTTACTCTTTACGAGATTTTATTTTCTATAAAAAAAAAAAAAAATAAACAAAATAATGCGATAACCATATTGCCGTCAATACTCACTCACAAATTTCTTCTGCAGAGCAGAGTCAACAACCGAGGGGATTCACAATTTTTACATTTTATTATTTTGTTTGTGATGACAAGATCTTTTAAGCATTGCAGATTATTGAACGGCCTACAGTAGGATAACACATATTTTATGACAATGCATTATGGGCCAGAGATCACATGTTTGGTACAATAAGGGTTTCGAGGACGCTGATTACGAATCTGGAAGAAAAAAATTCAAAAGGTGAATGGAAAGTAGTGGTAACCTTTTTTAAAAATTGAATTAATAAAATCAGTTTGTAGAGCTATGGTCACTGATTACAAATATGAAATCCGAATTTTAAAATTAATCCGAAATGGCGGATTAAATAATACCAACATAAATAATACCAACATAGCATGAAATCATAAATTTTGTATATTACGGACATAAAACTATGGGTTTGTTTTAAAAATGTGGTCAAAATCTCAAAGTATCGAATAATGGGGATCCGTTTATATGTGGCCCTACCGAAACTTAAGTCAATATTGATGATTTTTGCTATGAAGATTTCACACCCAATGAGAATTCAAAATACTAAATTACATCCAATTTGGCACAAAATGCACAAAATCCCAAAAATAGGGTGTTCCGTCATCCCATATAGTGGACGAAAATTTATCATTTTAGGTAGGAATATATGTTATACAATGCGAACACAAAATACCAAATTTGGTTGAAGATGAGCTAATATTTTCCAATTTTATCATTAGCATGCTATGATAGTGGAAGTCAAATTTAATTTGTAACACCGCGGAATATTGATCGTATGCCCATCTTTTAGTATACCAATCGTCATATCTCCACTAGACATGTGTCTCCGACCCTCCGTCTATCCATTTTAATTTGTAAACAAGATACAATCCACAGTTATGGCCTAATTGTCACGAAATTTTACATGTAGGATGGGTTCTGGCCAAAGAAGACCCCTATTGTTCCTTGTAAAGATAGGTTAATATTTAATAAATGAAATGGACCGAAAACTTTACTTTTGTCTGTTTTTCGGGACTTTTTAGAGATCTGACCATAGATTAATCATGCCATGATCACGATTCTGAAAAGATGTCACAGATGAGCTGTTGAGTTCTAATTGGTCAAGAGATAGCAAATATGGCAATATATTAGCCAAACTCTGAATATAGATCAGCTGAAACTTAGAGCTCAGTGGTAGTTGTATAGATTATTCTGTTCCGCTCACTGGTTTTTATACCCTTCACCACACTGTGGTACAGGGTATTATGTCTTTGTGCATATGTTTGTAACAGACAAAAGGAAGCGACATAGACACATGGTTCCTATTGTGAATATGCATAGAATCACTTTCTGAGTTGATTTGGGGATGTCCGTTCGACTTTTGTTTGACAATGTTATATTGCATTATATTTAGATATAGCTCCCATATATATTTTCGTCCGATTTTAGGTATATAGTGCGCCAAGATCGGTACATATATCCTTGGATTTGCTCGAAATTTGACATAGCGTACTGAAATAAGTCTAGAACGATGCGTGTTAAATTTCGTGAAAATCGGTTCAGATTCAGATATAGCTCCCATAAATATTTTCGTCCGATTTTAGGTAAATAGTGCACCAAAATCCCTATATATTCTTCGATTTGCTCGAAGTTTGGAATAGTGTATTGAACTATGTCTAGAACGATGTGTGTGAAAATCGGTTCAGATTTAGATATAGCTCCCATACATATTTTCGTCCGATTTAAGGTAAATGGGGCACCAAAGTCCCTATATATCTTTCGATTTACACGAAATATGGCATAGCGTACTGAATTGAGCCTAGAATGATGTGTGCTAAGTTTCGAGAAAATCGGATCAGATTTAGATATAGCTCTTTTATAGTTTTTTTCCGATTTTAAGCAAATGGTGCACTAAAGACCTAAAGTTTGGCCGATCGGCACACAATTTTGTACAATGTACTGAACTTATTATAACTTTTCAGGTGTTAAGTTGTCTTGAAATTGGTTCAGATTTACATATAGTTCTTATATATACTTTCTGATTTTAAGTAAATGGTGCACTAAAGATCCGATCGACAAACGCATTGAGTTTTCTTGAAATCGGTTCATATTTAGATATAGAATAGCTTCCGTATATAATTTCGAGCTATTCATGTTGATTGTACGCCAGATAATCAATGTGTGCCTGATTGATATTACAGTTTAAACAGTGAAGCATACCAAATAGCTTGCGTAAAGTTCGCTTTAAACCTATTTATATATAGAATAGGTTGCAGAATGGCGTGTGTTGGAATTGATGTTAGTCGGTTTACTTATAGATAAAGATCGCATATTAAAGTTCGTTCAAAAAGCGAGATCTGTTAGGGTACATATGTAGAATATACCCAAAGTGGTGAAGGGTATCATATAGTCGGCCCAGTCGGACTTTACTACTTTCCTTACTGTTTTTTTTTTATTAAATTCGTACATGCAATTTTCAACGGTTTTTTTATTTTAACGGCAATAACTCTTAAATTTATGAACGATCTCAAAAATCTAGAAAGATAATACATCAATGCGTCGCTTTGAAAATTTGCACAGATATTGCTAGTACACCTAGGACGTTTTGGTGTAACCCCTATATCAAGGTACCCCCAATATTCGGTATTTTAGGCCCAACCGAATTGACGGTAATTTAGTAGTTTGAGTACTCATTGTATAGCACATGTCTGTACAAAAAAGTATAAATATTGACCCAAGTTTCAGGGTAGCTCCCTCACAACGACACTTCCCAATATTCGGTATTTAGGGGATTTTGGACACATTTTCAACCTTATTGGCTGTAATTTAATATTTTGTGTTCACATTCTCTATTTTACAAACAAACATATTACCATGCATCAGAGTGTGGTAAAGGCGACTATTTATAAAAGTCATATAGAGACATTTTTCTGGAAAAAAGTTTTATTAACCATGGTATTCTAAAGACACTTTGTTGAAAAAAATGCGGCTAACAACCAGGAATATAAATTTTAGCACCTTTAATTTTCAAAATTTCGGAAATAGTGTGGTGCACTTATGTGGGGATATGTCAAAATATGTACCTGTATCGAAACTATTTTGCTAATATTTTTTTCAACTAGAAGACCACAAAGTTCCAAAGTTCAATCCCTTTAGTGGGAAAATGCGGATAAGGGCTTCAAGATATAGAAAATAGCGGTCATTGACCAATATTGAAATTTGTCTGCAGAATTTTTTCATCGTCCTCCACAACCATAGAATGCCAAATAACAACTTCTTCGGTTGAAACACGATCAAAACCTTTTAGAATATATGGGAATGTTGGGTACATTTTCCAACAGAATTGTGTGTAATTTTCAAATTTGAGTATTCATTGTGTAACAAATCTTCCTACAAAAAATTATCAATATTGACCCAAGTTTCATGGTAGCCCTCATTATTCCGTAGTTTTGAGATTTTGGACTTTTTAAACGAATTGCCTTACATTGATATTTTGGGTTGTCATTGGGAGTCAAGCCTTCCTAACAAAAACTTTCGATATCGGTTTCCGTTTTGGTTTAGTCTCCATATCCGAAAAATTTTTTTGTAGAAATGTTCAAAATATATTTGCGATATGTTTTCAAATTCTCTTGGCTGTTCGTCAACCACAACAGGGGATTCCACAAGCCATTCACTAATGAATGTTTTGACTGGATATGTGTATATGCATATATTATTTATTTAATATAATTATTTACTTAATTGTTTTTCACTGTTTGAACAATTGTTAAAAAAATTATCGTTTTATATTACCGCTAAAATGTTTTCCCCACCCCTCCCCTCTTAGACAAACACATATTTTGTTAAAAAAAAAACTCAAGAAAAGAAGTCATACTTTTGGAAAATACAAATTCTCAACAAAAAATAAATCGTAATTACATTTCAGTGTATCGCTAGACAGGTGCAAGATTAATTACCATATCGTTGAAAAGAAAAAGAAACAAATCTAAAAACTTCGCACATCTTGAGAAAAAAATTCATACGCTAATGATATTAGTTGACAAAGGGTCTGCATCGAATCAAGTCAGAATGTCGTGTCTTTGTATAACAATTTCGGTGATTTTAAGTCTTCTTGCGGTAATAATTGTAATTACTGTACCGGTTTTACTAACACTACATTCGAAGCAGAAACCATTAAATTCAACGGAGAATTTTGTTAAAGTCAACCAAATGAAACAGGAAATTAGGAAATCAGAATTTCTCAACAGTTTGGATGTATTTGGTGATAAACTTTTCCACGAATTGGTTGCGGAAAATCCTGGAAAAAGCATATTCTTTTCATCATTCTCCATACAAACATGCCTTACAATGACCCGCATGGGAGCTGTGGGTCAAACATCCCTGGAAATGGATACCTGCTTAAATATCACTGGCAAGTCGCTGGATAGTGTTGCCCATAAATATCACGAACTCTTGCAAAAATATGAAAACAATTCCCTGCTAAAAGTAGCCAACAAAATGTATGTCATGGAAAATCATAACGTAAAAGAGGACTACAATAAATCGTTGGCCCAGAGTTTCTTCGCCACAGTGGAAAATATAGATTTTTCTAAAAGCGATATTGCAGCCTCTGCTATAAACAAATGGGTGGAGCATAGCACCGATGGCACAATCCGAAATCTTGTATCATCAACCACATTAAATTCGGATACAAGGATTTTTCTTCTAAGTGCCATTCACTTCAAAGGTGAATGGCTTACTGAATTCCCCAGCGAAGCCACCAGCCAACAAGATTTCTTTATCAACAATCCGAATACAGTCATAAAGCTGCCAATGATGTATAAAAGAGAACTAGCATATTATAATATATTTCCCGAGTTAAATGCCACAGCATTACGTCTACCCTATAAAAATTCCGATCTTTCTATGTTGATTCTTTTACCGAATGCTTTGGATGGTTTGACGGCCTTGCAGGAAAAACTGAAAGATATTTCATTTGCATCAATTGCAAATCAAATTGCGGATCGTACATATGTTCAGATTTATTTACCGAAATTTCGAACTGAATTCGAAATGGAATTAAAGGGTGTTCTGTCAAAGGTAAATGCAATTAACATTTCCCCCTCTAAAAATCATCCAATTCATTTCTTTTCATTCTTAGATGGGCATGAAAACGATGTTCAATTCTGGTGAATTCGGTGGTATGCTAAAATCAGCCGAACCAATGCAAATTTCAAATGTCATACACAAGGCATTCATTGAAGTTGATGAGAAGGGCACTGAAGCTTCGGCTGCAACAGGTATGTTCAACTGATTGTTTAAATCGTAGAGAAAACCGAGCAAAATCGAATATTCTGATAGTTTTTCCAAAAACACCGATGGCAAATTTAGTTTTAAAGTCCAAAACTTTTGACAGTTTTTTGTATCATTCACCAAGAGGTACCGTGAATATCAGATTTATCAATCTGTTTTGAAAACCTTTAAATATTCGTGATAAGAATAAAATTCTTCATGTTCGTCTGTTGAAATCAATTTAGAGATCTGAATATTAGGGCATAGAGGTTTTAAAATTCAATTAACATTGTTCCCTATTTTGGAATAACCCATACATTGTAGTGTAGTGTAGACTGTAATTAGACACTTTGGTCCGTACCGAGTTATAGAATTTCGAATTTTCACCACAAGTTTTGCCCAGCATTTACCCTTCATCACACTGTGGTACAGGGAAAAAGGAAATGAGATAGACATATGGTTCCTTTCGAGAATATACATAAAAATCACATTCTTAGTCGATTTCTATTGATGTTAAATTGTAAACAAAGGACAGGTCGCATTTATTATCCGATTTAAATAAAAATTGGCATAGCTCATTTATTTAGCCCATGGACCCATATATATTTTCGTCCGATTTATGGTAAATGTTGCGCCAAATTCCCTAAATATCTTTTGACATGCACGATATTTGGCACTGCGTACATAATTGAGTCTACAATGATGTGTGCTAAGTACGTCCAATATATATTTTCGTCCGATTTAAGGTAAATGGTGCACCAAAGTCCCACAATATCTTTCGATTTGCACGAGAGATGTGTGCTAAGATTCATGAAAACCGGTTCAAATGTAGATATAGCTCCCATATATATATATATATATATATATATGTTCGTCCGATTTTATATAAAGCCCCTATTTATACCCTTCACTACAGGGTATTACGTTCTTGTGCATATGTTTGTAACAGGCAAAAGGAAACGAGATAGACATATTGTTCTTTTTGAGAATGTGCATAGCATCATTTTCTGAGTCGATTTATGCATGTCCGTCCGTCCATCCGTGTGTCCGTCTGATGGTGTTAAATTGTAAACAAAATACAGGTGGAACTTATCATCGAATTCGGATGAAATTTGGCGCAGCTCATTCATTTGGCCCAAGGATATATTTTCGTCCGATTTAAGGTAAATGGTGCACCAAAGTCCCACAATATCTTTCGATTTGCACGAGAGATGTGTGCTAAGATTCATGAAAACCGGTTCAAATGTAGATATAGCTCCCATATATATATATATATATATATATGTATATATATGTTCGTCCGATTTTATATAAAGCCCCTATTTATACCCTTCACTACAGGGTATTACGTTCTTGTGCATATGTTTGTAACAGGCAAAAGGAAACGAGATAGACATATTGTTCTTTTTGAGAATGTGCATAGCATCATTTTCTGAGTCGATTTATGCATGTCCGTCCGTCCATCCGTGTGTCCGTCTGATGGTGTTAAATTGTAAACAAAATACAGGTGGAACTTATCATCGAATTCGGATGAAATTTGGCGCAGCTCATTCATTTGGCCCAAGGATGAACCCTATTGATATTGTGAGAAATTCGTTCATATTTAGATATAGCTCCCATATATATTTTCGTCCGATTTAATGTAAATGGTGAACCAAAGTCCCTAAATATCTTTCGATTGGCACGCAATTTGGCATAGCACACTGAATTAAGTCTAGAAAGGTATGTGTTAAGTTTCGTTGCAATCGGTTCAGAATTAGATATAACTCCAATATATATTTTCGTCTGATTTAAGGTAAATGGTGCACCAAAGCTCCCATATTTCATTCGATCTGTACGAAATTTCGCACAGCGTATTGAATTGATTTTAGAGTGATGTGTGCTAAAATTCATGAAAATCGGTTAAAATTTAGATATAGTTATCATATATATTTTCGTTCGATTTTATGTAAAGGCCCTATATTTCTTAAAATTTGAATGATGTGTGCTAAGTTTCGTGAAAATCGGTTCAGATTTAGATATAGGTCCCATATATATTTTCATCCGATTTAATGTAAATGGTGAATCAAAGTCCCTAAATATCTTTCGTTAAATTTTATGGGATTTTTCATTGAAGAACCCAGAACCGAAATTTCACTTCGCCCACCATAACACAATACGATCTTGCAGGTGGTGGTTCAGTCCATAACAGAGTGTCTGAACTGATTTATTGCAAACTTTGGTCAGAATATAATACATATTATGACAGACAGTAACCAAGCCATAAAAACTATTACCTCTAAAACAGTTAAATCCAAAATTGTATTAGAATATATAAGAAATAATAAATAATTTCTCGCGACATGGTCTCGTACGAATCATATACTCGCCAGAAGTGCGACCGACAGTTAGATGTAAATAATGCCTAACCTTTTAATGCAACGTGTCTAGAACTAAGGACATGGGCAACAAAAACCCCACAAAATTCTTTGGAATAGCGAGGGGACGGGGATGAACGAGGATAAACAAAACATACCAGCCTGCGGGCCCACTTAAACTAGATTGGATGCGAGGAAAGCAACTGGTGTAGAGCGTGTGGAGAAGACAGCGAAATGTTAGAACATTTCCTGTGCCACTGCTCAATCTTTCCAAGCTTCCAAACGGATAGAATTTTGAATTTATTTTTTATTGTGCCAATAAGGCATGGATTTTTCCAATTTTTTTTTTTACGCCTATTTTTTTTTTAATTATATTCTTTATTACTTTTGAATTGTTTTTTCAGGTCTAACAATTACAACACGAAATGGTGGCGTCATGCACTCTCTTACCTTCAGAGCTGATCATCCATTTTATTATACTATCATCAATGATGATAATATTCGCCTGTTTGAAGGAACCTTCATGGGAATTTAGTGGTATTTTTCTGTAAATAAATCACTTTTCTAATTATATATTATTCAGTTATATAAATTGTAATAAGGCAAAATAAAATATATATAGTAAATAAAAACACACGAGACAATATTTAACGCCAATAGGTTTTACTATGTGATGCCCAACATTTAGATTACGTATTTACGACGAATACAACTCAAACTATTTGGGACCATTGTGAAATGGAACAACACCTTTTGGGTGCAAAATGATCCATGAAATAAAAATTTTCAGTAAACTCTTAAACTTAAAAACATGGACGTACGCAGATTTAGCAAAATTGAAATATTCATTTCGCACCATCGGGGATTATTTATTAAAATTTGCTTCAATATGGCCAAAGATTTGCTTCCATATGGCTTCTGATCTCTACTGTCAAGGACAACGCTAGGTCGCACACATCTACAGTGGCTCGCCAGAAACTTCGGGAGTTTGATTGGAAAGTTTTAATGCATCCGCCATACAGGCCGGACTTGGCACCAAACGATTATCATATTTTTCTTGCATTACAAAATTTCTTTAATGATAAAAAATTTGTATTTAGACAGGATTGTGAAAATCGACTACTAGAGTTTTTTTTTTTTTTTTTTTTTTGAAAATAAAGAGCAGGACTTCTACGAGAGAGGCATTTTGAAGTTACCTTTAAAATGGTAACAAATCATACAACAAAACTGTCCAAATCGGACATTCCGAAGCATGATAAATAAAGTCCTATAGTTCATATAAAAATAATGGATTTCGTTTTCCCCAACCTTTTTCCTCAACCCAAAATTTATAAAAAAACTTGCGATTTACTGATCATATGCACTATTCCCTGTTCTCAAGTGTGTTGTTGATTATAAATATTGTTGATATGTTTCTCCCCCAAAAAAAAGTACATTTGCACAAGTGTTATTTCCGAAATTATGGGAATTTCCTATTAAAGACCGAAAAGCTTCTTGTGCTGACTCAGCACTAAACTTAACTCTTGGAAATATCATATTTTTGTTATTCAAGTCAGATTCTTTTGTTACCTACCTATAAATATACATAAATAAATATTTTTAATATATATACTAACAAAATGTTTTCTCAATTTTAATAATATCTAGTTATTTTACTAAAAATTTCAAAACAGTTGACTCCACACAGTCAATTTTGGCTAGACACCTATACGAAAATTCACACACACACACATAACCAGTTTAATTTTAATAAATATGAATAACACTATGCGACAGGGAATTGGGATGGATGTCGGTTAAGTTAATATTTGTTGAATCTATAATTAGGAAGAAACACTTTATATTATTGTTTGCTAGTTAATTGTATCTTAAAAATATGTCAATTTAGTCATATCAAACGAATATGACTAAATCGACGTATAAAAGTATTCTGACCAAGAAATAAATATACTTTATGGGGTCTCTGATAAAAATTTCGATATTTTCCACCATAGTATGGAGGGTATATTAATTTTGTTTTTCCGTTTGTAACTCATCGAAATAATCATTTCCTACCCTATAAAGAATATATTTTCTTAATCAGCGTAAAATCTAAGACGATTTAACCATGTCCGTCTGTTGTAATCACTCTAGCGTCTAAACGAATTGTGATAGATCGCCAAAATTTTGCATAGAGTCGTCTTTTGTCTGCCGGCAGGTCAAGTTCGAAGATGGGATATATCGGTCCATGTTTAGGGATTGCTCCCATATAAGGGTACCCCCCAATTTTCAGTATTTTGTAGTTCTTGATCGCGTTTTTCAAACGAATTCGCTGTAATTTTGTATTTTTAATTTTCCTCCCCTTTTAGGGGTAGTCCCCATATAACCCCCTTTTTATACCCTACACAACTATGTAGTCAGGGTATTATAGCTTTGTGCAGCCCCAAGAATTTGTAACGCCGCGAAATATTGGTCCTAGACCCACTTTTAAGTATACCGATCGTCATATCTCGACTTGCTGAGTCGATCTAGACATGTGTGTCCGTCCGTCCGTCTGTCCATTATATTTTGTAAACACGATACATGCCACAGTTATGGACCAATCTTCACGAAATTTTGCATGTAGGATGGGTTCTGCCCCATGAAGACCCCTATTGTTTTCGGTAAAGATCGGTTAATATCTAGGGGATGAAATGGACCAAATACTTATTTGTAATGATCAGATAATAAATTTGGGATGAAGTGGACCGAAAACTTTTTTTATGTTCTTTTTCGTGTCGATCTATAGGCCATAGTAATAAGTCAAACATCACAACACAAGCCATGGTGAAGGGAATTTGGAGAAGTACCTAATTAGAAGGAGTGTACTGAGTATTAGAAATATTCGGAAAATATGTGAGTGTAAGGAAGAGGCGCTATTGACCTCTAATCGAGCAAGAAGGTGCAAATATCACGAAATATTGCCTAGGAATAAACATCCGCAGAGAGTTAGCTTTCCGTGGTAGTTGTGTGGGGTATCATATGGTCGGCCCCGTCCGACTATACTTCTCCGCTTACTGGTTTATGATATTTTTGTTTGTTATTCTTTTTCACAGTGCTCGCGAACATTTGTTATTATAGTTTTTTCCAAAAGAATGTTCTTCAGCAACAAATGCTTGCAAACGAACAAATAGACGACCCTTGCAGCCAAATTTTATCGTTCGTGAATTTTACGTACAATTCGAACATTCGCGAGAGATTGCTAATGCTTGTTCATTCATTGTAACTTTATCATTCGCGATAAATTGAAAACATGAAGGTTATTATAAGCACTGGACGATATAGCAGCGATTAATTCAGTCTACGTAGGCGTTTTGGTGCCACAATAGCCCCAAAAGTAGTTTCAGTGAGTCTCTAAAACATGACATATGAGTTCTTAATATACCTCCCAAAGGCTGTCATTCCATAAAATCTTGTAGCACAGTGTAATTTATAACAGATCACAAAACAATGACTGAAATGAATTCCATTCGTTTTCATTAATCATTTAAAATTTGTTTTTATTCCAGAGTTGAAAACGCAAGATGTGGGGTAAGTAAAGTATACATAAAATTAGGAAATCTGATATTAAAAAAATACAAAAAATATTTACAGTTAAAGCAACGCTACTTCTTGGAATTTTAGCCATTTGTGGTACCCAAACAATGGAAGCATTTTCGGATTCAATTTTCCAAAAAGCTTTATCGCAATTTGGACGAACCATTTTCAATGAAATTCTAACAAAAGATGGACCACAAAATATTATTCTATCTCCCTTTGCCATTCAATCGTGTTTGACAATGTTGCAAATGGGTGCTGATGGTCAAACTGCTGAGCAGCTACAACGTGGCTTAAACTTTGCCAACATTAATAGGGAGCAATTGACCAGCAATTATAACTCCATACTGACAAAATATCAACAAGGAGCCAGACTAAAAATTGCCAATAAAATCTATGTAATGCAAAACGAAGAACTCAGAGATGATTACAATGAAATGTTATCCGAAAATTTCTATACAACTGCAGAAAATATCGATTTCACCCAAGTTGAAAATGTCACAGCCGTACTTAATAATTGGATTGCCTCGAAGACAAACGATATGATTAGAGATTTGATAACTGAGGATAGCATAAGTCCTTATACCCGCTTATATATTTTAAGTGCAATTTATTTCAATGGCAAATGGGCTAAAGCATTCTCGAAGGAATCAACGAAAGAAGAATATTTCTATTTGGATAAGAAGAGTTTTAGAAAAATTCAAATGATGAGAGTGCAATCGAAATTTAAATTTGGTTTTGTGGATGAATTGGAAGCATCGGCGGTTATATTGCCTTATAAGGATATTGATCTTTCGATGTTAATTATTTTACCCAATGCAATTGATGGTTTGGCAAATATTACTCGGAAGTTACGGAATATAGAGTTGTCTTCACTTATTTCAAGAAATGTAAAATATGCCATGGAAGTTGATTTGCAGATGCCAAAATTTAAAGCGGAATTTAAAATCAAGCTGAGTGACATACTTAAAAAGGTAAGTTAATTACTGTTAATAATTGTTACAAATACATCTTTGTATTCATTCATAAACAAACGTTCATTCATTTCTACTATATGAAAACCACTAAGAAAAGTAGTAAAATCAGACATGGCCGACTATATGATATCCTTCACCACTTTGGGTATATTGTTCATATGTATCGTAACTATTTATATTAAGTCGGACGAAAATATATATAGGAGCTTGTTTAAATCTGAACCGATTTCTACGAAACTTAACACACATCATTCTAGACTCAATACAGTACGTCATGCCAAATCACTCTAGCGTTAATTAAGTACGCTATGTCGAACTTCGTGCAAATCGAAAGATATATAGGTACTTTGGTACAAGCTATATCTAAATCCGAACCGATTTTCAAAAAACAAATTATACCACATCGTTCTGCACTTAGTTCAGTACGCTATGCCAGATTTCATATAAATCGAAATATATATATGGACTTTAGTGAAACATTTACATTAAATCTGACGAAAATATATATGAGAGCTACATCTGAACATATTTGCGCCAAACTTAGCACACATCAATCTTAACTTAATTCAGTATGCTATGCCTAATTTCGTAGAAATCGAATGATATGTAGGGACTTTAGTGAAACATTTACATTTAATCGGACGGAAATATATGTGGGGGCTACATGTAAATCTGAACCGATTTTTCTTAATTTCAATAGGGTTTGTCCTTTTGCCAAATTAATAAGCTTTGCCAAATTTCATCCAGCTACATTTCCCATCTGGTTAGAAACATTTAGACTCTTTTACTTTTTTTCAATTTTGACTCATAATTGCTTAGGAAAATTCCCTACTAAAATTTTTAAATTTTGGCAATCTTAACGACACCCACCTATATGCGATATTTCGGGGATTTCGAACACGTTTTTATACCCTCCACCATAGTATGGAGGGTATATTCATTTTGTCATTCCGTTTGTAACTCATCGAAGTATTCATTTCCGACCCTATAAAGTATATATATTCTTGATCAGGGTAAAAGACGATAAGACGATCTAGCCATGTCCGTTCGTCCGTCTGTCGTAATCACGCTATCTTTTGAAGGAATTGAGATAGGGTGCTGAAATTTTGCATAGGATTGTTTTTTGTTTGCAGGCAGGTCAAGTTCGAAGATGGGATATATTTGTCCACGTTTAGGTATAGCTTCCATATCACAGTACAACCCAATTTTAGGTATTTTAGGGTTCTTGAGCGCGTTTTTCAGCCGAATACGCTGAAATTTGGTAAATTGGGTTCTTATTGGGTAGTTAACACTAGAACGCCGAAGGCGGTCATTTTGACCGCTTTCCAATTTCAAGTAAAAAAGCAACTGTGCATTTAATGACACTTTTATTTTAAATTTGGTGATTTTTTTATAATAAACGTAATTCTATGAGATACAAAAAGTCACCAAATTTAAAAAAAAAAGTGTCATTAAATGCACAGTTGCTTTTTTACTTGAAATTGGAAAGCGGTCAAAATGACTGCCTTCGGCGTTCTAGTGTTAATGTATCCACAACAAATTATAAATATAGGTCCACTTTTTCTTGTTGCCTCCATATAACGGTACCTCCTAATTTTCAGTATTTTGGGGATTTTGATCGTATTTTTCCACTGAATTGGCTGTAATTTAGTATTTAGGGTTCTTAGTAGGTACCAAATCTCTCCACAAATATAGGTCAATTTTTTTCGGATATCCCCCATATAAGGGTACCACCAAATTTTCGGTATTTTGGGGTTCTTGAGAGAGCTTTTCAACTGAATTCGCCGCAATTTGGTAGATTGGGTTCATATTGGGTACTAAATATCTCTACTAAAAATTATAAATATCGGCCCACTTTTACTGGTAGCCCCATATAAGGGCACCCAAAATTTTCGGCATTTTGAGGTTCTTGAGCGCGATTTTCAACCGAATTCGCTGAAATTTGGTAGATTGGGTTCTCATTGGATACCAAATATCTCTACTAAAAATTATAAATATCGGTCCACTTTTTCTGGTAGCCCCCATATAAGGGCACTCCCAATTTTCCGTATTTTGAGGTTCTTGAGCGCGATTTTCAACCAAATTCGCTGAAATTTGGTACAATGGGTTTTTATTGGGTACCAAATACATCTATTAAAAATTATAAATATCGGTCCAGTTTTTCATTTCAAATAACTGTCGGTATATCTGTGGTGGAGGGTATCCAAAGTTCGGCCCGGGCGACCTTAACGCTTTTTCACTTGTTTTCACTCGAATTGGCCCTAGTTTGATAAGTTGAGAACCCTACATATCAATCGGTATGTTTAAGGTCCTAGCCCAATTGTTGAAACCGAACCCTCTTCCCGGCCGAATTTTGCGACGTTCATACAATTTTTAGTTTGAATATATTGATTATAACACGAATTGTAAAAGTTACTCCATCACATACAACATTTGTATAGTGTACCATATATTGTTCGCTATTGTTTCCTTTCGTGCATGTTTATGTTAATAATTTGAAAGCAATCAACTTATTTCAAAATATTTCTAATTGTAGATGGGCATGGAAAAAATGTTCTCCAGTGGCGATTTTCGAAAGATGTTAAAATCACCAGGACCCTTGGCACTGTCCGAAATAATACACCAAGCATCGATTGAAATTAATGAAGAGGGCACAAGAGCTTCTGCCGTTGCAGGTATTTATAATAACTTTTAAACTAAAATCAATAGATAATTGTTGAAATTTCTTTTTCATAGCTGCCGATGCATATCTGCGTTCATCCTTGCCAGTGTTTGATTTCAATGTTAATCGTCCATTTTATTATGCCATCATCAATGATGATTTTATACCATTTTTTGAGGGGACATTCGTGGGAGTTTAAAGGGCATATTATACTAACATTCAATACCACAGCAGCATAAACACTTAAATTTTAAATAAATACTAAGCACAAATGCTTTATACACTGAAATAGTTGAAGGTTATTTCTTCTATTATGAATATAATCGTATAACAAATCGTGCACAGTAGAATATTACATAGGCCGGCATGTATAGTGTAAAGTTTTACTCTTTTTAATAATTTTTTTGGACAAATGAAAAGAAAATATTGTATACGTGCGAATTATCTATGTTTCCATTCAGGATGTCTATCAATGCCTCCAATATTTAACATAAATTCAAAATTCCGTGATACTTTCATTGTTATCAGAAAAAGCCATCTGTGACAATTCCGAAGAAGTAAAATAAAATAATTTATATTTTTTATGCTTTCATATTCTACGCATTCACCTTCTTCGTCTTCAATTGGTTGTTTTTGCTCTTGTTTAAATACATAAATATGTATTGCGTTGTTGTTTATGCAAAATATATTCTAAGTGTTGTCTAAATGACAAAAACATTTTGCAATATAAATAAACAACATTTGTTAAAATATTATTTAGTCATATATTGCACCTTTAAATATTAAGACAGTTTGGCAAATAAACAAAAAAATATAAAAATATGGAACTCAGTGGTAAGTATAAATAAAAAATATATTCAAATCATTATTTATACATTGAAGACATTAACATCATTCCATTTATGGAAATACATAAGATCAATTTCAAATTTCCACGAATTTCAACAGTTTCCAGTTAGTTCATTTTTCCAAGTAAAAACCGTCGGAAAGTTTGTCCGGGCCAGACTTTTTATACCCCCCACCAGATGGAGGGACTATGTCCGTGTATAGTGTGAAAGCTGGATGCCATGGCCTGTACAAATAATGTTTCAAATTACATATTTGGAAAACTGAAATAGGAACTTTAACATGCCAAAACCAGTAGGGAAAGTAGTAAAGTCGAACTGGGCCGACTATATGATACCCTTCACCACTTTGGGTATATTCAACACATGTCTCCTAACAGACATCGCCTCTCGAAAATACATTGACATGAGATTGAACGAAATTGAATATGTGATCCTTATCTTTCTGGAAACTATGCTAAATTTCATTTCATTTGAGCAAATTTAGGGTCGTTTGCGTACAATGGGACAATACACACTATTCGGTAGGTCGCACTTTTCAAAATTTATATATATAGGGGTTTTGATATATATAGGGATTTTGGTCCATCATACATAAAATATATATATATACATATATATATATATATATATATCTAAATCAGAACCAATTTTCACGAAGCTTGACAGACCCCATTCTAGACTCAATTCAGTACAGTATGCCAAATTTCGTGCACATCGAAAGACGACTAGGAACTTTGGTCCATAATTTCAATTAATTTGGACGAAAATATATATGGGAGCTATATCTAAATCTGAACCGATTTTCACAAAACGTAGCACACATCATTATGCACTCAATTCAGTACGCTGTGCCAAATTTCGTGCACATCGAAAGATATACCGGAGTTTTGGTGTACCATTAACATCTGTACGGATTTCAACAAAACTTAACATACATTAATCTGTACCTAATTCAGTACGCTGTGCAAAATTTTGTCTCTATCGAACTAATATTAAGTTTTTGATGCACCATTTATATAAAATCGGACGAAACTATATATTAGAGCTATATCAAAATCTTATCCGATATCAATAAAACTTAAAGTATGTCAATCTGTGCCTAACTTAGTTCGCGGTGCAAAATTTTGTCTCAATCGAACAAATATTGGGAGTTTGGTGCACCATTTAAATAAAATCGGACGAAAATATATGTGGGAGCAATATCTAAATCTGAACCATTTTTTCAAATTTTCATTGGGTACGTCCTTTGTCCAAATTAGTAACCTTTGCCAAATTTCATCCGATTCGGATCGACCTGTTCTTCGTTTACAATTTAACATGAACAAAGGGACGGACGGTCTGGCGGACATGCAGAAATCGACTCAAGAAGTAATTCTATGAATATTCTCAATAGAGTAGATTTGGACTTGTGTGTCCATGCGTTCGTCTGTCCATTATAATTTATAAAAACGATAACGGCCATAGTTTTTGACCAATCATCACGAAATCATTGGACCAACATCTTTATTTTTGTACGTTTTTCTGGTCGCTCCAGAGCCTAAAATTATGACCCGAACACCGCGAAAGTTTGTTATTACGATAAATATTTAGCGGGTCAAATGGACCCAAACTTTTGTGTGAAAAATTAAAGAATATATATATATATATATATATACACTCCTGAAGAAAATATACCGGATAATTTGACATAATATGCAAGATCAGTGGTTGACTTTTAAATTGATACCAATTACATAGTTGTGTGTACGTGGATGTGGGAATTATACGTAAATACTTACCAGGGTCTACCAATTCTGGTACAGTTAAGTATTACCCTTACAAAACTAGAGGTCGGAAATGTCAGGCTGGTCGCTATGAAATTTTACATGAACTTCCGGTTATGGTCAGGGACGACACCCATAGTTTTCGGTGGTGATCAGATGATACTTAGGAGAGGAATTGGACCGAAAATTTAATTTATGTGTGTTTTTTAAGTCGCTATATAGGCCACAATTACAAAATCTCAACACATCACAGGGAGAAGGTTTTCTGGCCCACTATTGAGATAATGATCGTTCAATGTTCAACGGGTCAAATCAACCGAGATGTATCTGTGTAAAATATATCTGCCATGTGCTCATCCCCGAAAACAATATTCAGAGAATATGCCGGGGTAATAAAGACGAGTTGTTGGCCTCAAAGCAAATATCGCAAAATATTGTCCAAGCTCTAAATATTGATGCGCAGAAAGTTACAGTCATGTGGTAATTGTGTAAGGTATCATATGGTCGGCCTCGTCCGACTATATTGCTCACTGGTTTGTTATAGGGAGATGTTCTACTCAATGATAATCCAGAATATAAATTGCAGTTAATTTGGTTTAAACAGTTGCCAAAATACCGAAATTTGCGATGTAGCGTTGTATGAGCCTATGTTGATAATTTTTGCTAGTGAGATTTTGATAGGGAGATTTTCTGCTCAATTAGAAACACTTATATTACCAAATTTTGGGGGTACCACTAAATGGGGCTACTCTATAAAGTGGACCAATATTGCTAATTTTTAGTAGGAAGAGAACCCAAAAGAAGCTGATTAGGTTAAAAACGTGCCCAATAGCTTCAAATTACCGAATTTTCAGTACCAAACATCATAGGTGCAGTAACAATATATGTGCAACATTTCAAAGCTCTTTATTACATGTAAATATGTATTGAATTATTTCATTTACTAATTATTGTCCTAAATTTAATATTTTCAGTTAATATATTTCCCCACCTAATTCTTGTCATTTTACTGGCATGCTCACCGCCAGCGACATCGGCAAAACCAGAAATAAACTATAGGTTGGGAAGTTTTAATCGTCAACTACTTCACGAAGTATTTACAACAAATGAAAATCAAAATACACTGATATCTCCCTTTGCCATGCGTTCAGCTCTATCTATGGTCATAATGGGTACTGGCGGCGAGGCGGCTGATGAAATAGAACAAACCTTGCGGCAATATGAAACGGAATCTGAAATATTGAAAAAATATGGATCCCTGTTGGCGAATCTTAAAAGTGAAACAAATTTAAAAATTGCAAACTTAATTTGCCTTAATCACAAATTTCGACTAAAAGACACTTTTTTACAAATTGTAACCGGACAATTTTATTCAACTCCACTTTTGGTGGACTTTTCTCAACCCAATCAAGCAGTGGAAGTCATAAATGAAGCCATTGGCAAAAATACAAATTACACTATTAAAAATGTATTGCAACCTCAAGATTTGGGCCACAATCCAGAAGCATTACTGCTAAGTACGGCACACTTTAATGGGGATTTTGCTTTACCCCTACCCGCCGAGGGAATAGAAGAAAAACCATTTCGTCTAAATGCCACAAGCCGAATAAATATTCCCATGATGAAATATAAGGGAAAATTCGAATATGCCATTCTAACCAAAGACCTCTTATCAACAGCTATTCGTATACCGTATAGAGATTCGAATTTATCATTAATTGTTATAAAGCCAGCCGATAGAATGCCAATGAAAAGATTTATGCGAATTTTACAGGAAATTGATTTCGATTTAAGATCCTTGAAGAGGAAATTCACAGAAGCTGAAGGGTATATTATTTTACCCAAATTTAAGACACAATTTCAAATGAATTTGAAATATTTTTTAAATAAGGTAAGTTTTGGAATTATCAACATAGCATATGGTTAGATATTAGGTAAAATTAACATCTTGGAAATATGAATTAGGACCATAGTAGATGTTGAGATTTAATTTATTTTGAAAAGTGGGTCATCAGGCCTTTTTGTAAAAAAATCTTTTTCCTCATATTTTTAATAAATTCCCTGATCCACAGGAACTGAAGATAAGTATTAGCAGACTAGTAGATTTGTTGCTACAAAAAAATTGTATTCTCATGTTAGGAGATTTTTTTTTTGTTTTGTAGAAAAAAATGGATTTGAAATGGTTCTGAGCATCTGGAATATTTTTCTAATAGATTTCCATTATCTGAAGATTTCTTGCTCCTCATCTTCCGAGTAGGTTTTGTTTATAGTAGGTTTTGTTTTTTATAGACGGGGCCGCCTATATGATACCCTTCACCACTTTGGATACATACAAGAGATGATAATATATACCATCTATGAAATATTGTGTACCGTGAAATCGAGACAAAATAAGTGTATGTGTAGCTGTATGTAAATATGGATCTAATTGGGCAATCGTGGAGTATACCATTTGGAATGCTGCAGCACAGTCCGATGTCCTCAATTTTATAAACATAGGCTCTTCGGTGCACCATGTACATAAAATCTGACGGAAGTATATATACGAGGTATCTAAATCTGAACTGGTGCACTTTTAGATAATTTCG